CTTCAGAAATGAAGAAGAGTCTAGGCCCGAAACGTCAGCCTTCCTGCTCCTCTGATGCTGCTTGGCCTGCTATGTTCATCCAGCTGTACATCTTGTTATCTCAGCCATGTGATAATGACCAGATAATCTGTTTTCATGATATTAATTGAGCAATAAATATTGGTCAGGTGACTAAGGATAACTTCCCAGTTCTTCTTCAAAAATCTTTTGCCTCCATTACAGCAGGCAGATGAGACCTAAAAAAAGAAGGCTTAAGATAGAAAGAAAAGAAAAGGCAGGAAATAAAGGTTCTCTTCAATAATGCTGAACTATTATTTTGGCTGCAAAATCCAAGCAATTAAAGATTAAGCCGGTGCAGAAACCAAACTTACAATTTTTCCACTCAACCACTGTTGCAGAATTTTATTTTTCTCCTGTCTCATCCAGAAGATACTGGGGTTAGAGCCATTAACACTTCGGGTGTATGTAAAGCTAGGAAGGATATTATTAAATTGAAAAGAGTGCATAAAAGATTTACCAGAAAGTTACCATAACTGGAGGATTTGAATTGTAAGGAGAGGCTGAATAGGCTGGGGCTTTTTACCCTGGAGCGTAGGGGATTGAGTGGTGACGTTATAGAGGCTTATAAAATCATGAGGGGCACAGATAAGGTGAATAACAAATGTCTTTTCCGTAGGGTAGGGGAATTCAAAACTAGAGGGCATAATTTAAGATGAGAAGGGAAAGATTTAAAAGGGACCTGAGCGGCACGTTTTCCACGCAGTGGGTGGTGTGTATGTGGAATCAACTGCCAAAGGAAATGGTAGATGCAGGTATTGTTACGACATTTAAAAGACATTTGGACAGATTCATGAATAGAAAAGGTTTAAAGAGAAATGGGCCAAACACAGGTAAGTGAGGCTAGTTTAGTTTGGGAAGCCTGGTTCGGCATGGACGGGTTGGACCAAAATGTTTGTTTCCGTGCTGTATGACTCTATGACTTTATTTAAAAAGACACGAGGATTTTATGGAAAATGAAAGCAAGGACCTTATACTAAACCTTTGAGAATACATTGGCTAGGCTCCAGTGGAGAATTTTAAACAGAGATTTTATAGAGATGTTCAAAATCTTAAAATATTTTAATAGAATAAATGGAATGAAATTATTGCCAATGATATAAGGATCAGTACAGGAGGGCACAGATTTAAGATAATCGGCAAAAAATCTCGGGGCCACATGAGAAAAATGATTCAAATTGTGGCAAATAGTTATGAACTGGAATTCAAAAGGGCGTGGAAGTAGAATCAGTCATAAGTTTCAAAAGATGTATTAAATAATTAATTGAAACCAAAAATTGGTGGCCTGTTGTTCCAGGGACATAATGGGGAGTAGTTGAGTGGTTTAGAAAAATAAAAGCAAGAGTAGGCTATTCGCCCTCTTGAGCCTGCTCTGCCATTCAGTATGATCATAGCTGACCATCGTGCTCAATACCCTAATCCCACCCTGCCCCCAATCCCTTTGTCCTTATAGGCACAAAAGCTATACCTATCTCCTCCTTGAAAACACGTATTGTTTTGGCCTCAATCACTTTCTGTGATAGTGAATTCCAAGGGCAATCTATTCTCTGGGTGAAGAGATTTCTTGTCATCACAGTCGTAAAAGGTTTACCCCTTATCCTTGAGCTATGACCCCTGCTTCTGGACTGTCCCACCATTGGCAACATCCTTCCTGCTCTAACCTGTCTAGTCCTGTAAGAATTTTATATGTTTATAAGAGATGCTCCCTCATTCTTCTAAGCTCCAGTCAATAAAATCCTAATTGACTCAATCCCTCCTCATACGTGACTGTAGACCCAAAGCAATGTGTTTGACTCTTAACTGCCCTCTGGGCAATTAGAGATGGGTAATAAATGCTGGCCTGGCCATTGATGCCCTTATCATATGAATGAATTTTAAAAAATTACTTTCAGTGACTGGTGCATGAGGACACCCAAGTCTCATTGAACATTCCCCTGTCTCAATTTGCTGCTATTCAAATAATAATCTGCCTTCCTAATTGTCCACACTGTACTGCATTTGCCCACTCAGCCTGCCCAAATCACACTGCAACATCTCTGCATTCTCCTCACAGCTCACCGTTCCACCCAGCTTTGTGCCATCTGCAAATTTGAGATTTTATATTTAGTATCTAGATCATTTTTTTCATTGAACAAGCACAAGCACAATGGGCCGACTAGCTTCCTTCTGCATTGCATGATTCAATGAAATGTTTAGTGATTGACAGAAACCACAAAATTGGATTGCTAATTTTGTACGTATTCTCGCTATTTTGCAGTGTGCAGTGCGAATCGCCAGAATGGTTGCTTATGTTAGTGCAGGCACTGTAGAATATCTCTACAGCCCAGATGGCAGCTTCTACTTCTTGGAACTCAATCCTCGCCTGCAGGTTGAACATCCCTGCACAGAGATGGTGGCAGATGTCAACTTGCCTGCTGCCCAATTACAGGTAAAATATAGAGCAATTTGTGTGGTGGAGTTTGAGTCTATGCTTGTGTTGGTCTGTAAAGGCTTGTATTCAATGGTTTTAAAAATTTGCTAGAAAGTCATTATCTCGAGTACAGGTTCCTTTAAAATATTTGGAAACCAGAACTTTACAAAGTTTGATATAGAGTTACAAGTTTTTTTTATTAGAAATGAAACTTTTATTGGGAAATACATAACTTTAATTTGTATACAATTAGTTTGATTTTTGGTGTTGTTGCAACTATTTACAGATTGGTTATAGAGTTGGCAAAATGAGAAAGCAATGAACATCTTGTTCTGCTTTCATCTTTGTGCCTTCTTCCAAATGTGAAGTGTAATCTTCGATAAGAATGAAATCTTCAACAACAACCTGTATATTTATTATCATATATTTAAATTGTCTTTATAAATTTATTTTGTTGCCTTCTCAGGGACATTATAGAAGAAACTATTGTTTCTCATCATATGAGATATTCGGGCAAATATCCAAGAAATTGGTCAAATTGGTAAAATTTTGAGATGCATTTTGTAGGAAGAGATAGAGATGGAGAGGTTTATGGAAGGAATTAAAATTTAGGGCCAGGGCAACTGATGGCATCACCAAAATGGTGAGCAATAAAATTAACGTATATTCATTAGAGGCCAATATAAAATGACTCAGAAATCTTGGAGGGTTGTGGAGCAAGACGAGATCTCAGGAGTATGAATGGGTAAAGGTGATGAAAGATTTACCATTATTTGTTGAATTAAGGACTTTTTGTATTGTGGCCTGATAGGAAATGGGTTGCGATTACTCTAAATTAGTTTAGCTTACGACATGCAAGAGACCCAAAACTGGATTTGAACATGCACTTTGAAAAGGCAATGAAGTTCCACTGTTTTATCCCAGCCTAAATCTAAATTACTGCTAAATTAAATTTTAATGTTTGAAAATACACTGGCAGTGTAAAGTAATTAGAATACCATGTTAGTCTGTGATTTTTGCAGTTTTAAAATACTGAGATTCTTTCGTTTTCACTGCAGATCGCCATGGGGATCCCCTTGCATCGGCTTAAAGATATCAGAATCTTGTATGGTGAAAGTCCTTGGGCCGATACACCAATCAACTTTGAGGAACCAATAAATATTCCAAGGCCCAGCGGCCATGTTATTGCTGCCAGGATCACAAGTGAAAACCCTGATGAGGTACAATTCAGACTTAGCCTTAGTAAATGTGACTTCTTATCCATAAGCATAATTAGGTAATTTATTCTTTTAAGTTATTTGCCTTTTAAGTTTTCCTCAACCTGTTACACTTCTGTCTCTTTAATGAGTCCTTAGACTTGATGGTAAAAGAAAGAAAGAGCAATGAGTAGGAAGAGTCAAAAGTAATTGCAGGTGGAAACATCCATTTGCTCCACCTTAGTTTATTCATCTAAAATTTAACAAAACACTTGCATTTCTCCCACTGTGTGATGTAGGTGTATTAAGTGAATATTAAGGTTTCATTTCCAACACCTTACCTGGAAGAGCATTCTGAATACTAATGACTATGCATAAAGAATTTGTTCCTGATTTCAATTCCAAATTGCCCATGTATTGTTCAGCTTGTGCTCCCTTGTTCTAATGGCTTGGCTTAACATCCAGCATCGTGCTGAGTGTTCACCTAATTTATTTTCCTTTGTTCTCTCACCCAGGGATTTAAGCCCAGTTCAGGAACAGTCCAGGAATTAAACTTCCGCAGTAATAAAAACGTCTGGGGATACTTCAGTGTGGCAGCTGCTGGTGGCCTGCATGAGTTTGCTGATTCCCAGTTTGGTCACTGCTTCTCCTGGGGAGAAAACCGTGAGGAGGCTATCTCGTTAGTACAAATTGGATTGTCCGATATCTTACTATTTGTTACTCTTGCTGCATTGAGAGGATACACAACAATATATTTTCTATAGGACAGTGCATAAATTGGTGTTGAAATTTAAATATATAGTCATAGAGTCATACAGCACGGAAGCAGACTCTTTGGTCCAAACAGTCCATCCTCAACATAATCTCCTCTCTTTCCTCTCTATCCTTTCTCTCTCCCAGCTCCTCGCTCCCTCCCCCTCACTTTCTTCTCCCTCACCTTTTCTGTCCTATCTCCTCCCTATGCCGCTTCTCCCTTCCACTGTCATCTCCTTTCTCTCTCCCCTTTTCTTCACCTTTCTCCCTCTCTCATCTCTCCTCTTCCACCTCTCTTGTCTCTGCTGCCCTCTCCCTCTCTTGTTTCCCATCTCTTATCCTGTTATCCCTCAAGACCGTGACCAGATACACATGGAAGCATTCCACAAAGTGTCATATCTGATCAACAGGAAGTTCCGTTTTGCATTGGTTTTGTTCCTTGTCAATGATTGACTAGGTAAAAGGGGCCTGCTCCTGGCTCAGATCCCTCCAGACCTTCCCTATTCAGGTGCTTATCACGTACTTTAAAAGTTGTATCCGCATCCACCACCTCCTCACGAAATTCGTTCCACACGCAAAACCACCCTCTGTGTAAAAAATTTGCCCCTCATTTTTTTTTAAATCTCTCTCATCTCATCTTATAAATGTGCCCTCTAGTCTTGAAATCCCCCATCCTAGAGAAAAGAAAACTACTATTAAGACCCATCATTATTTTATAAACTCCTATAAGGTCGCCTCTCAACCCCCTACGCTCTAGTGAAAAAAGTCTCAGCCTATCCGGTCTTTCTTTATAACTATATCTTCCAAATCCTGCTGCCAGCAGTGGTTCAGTGGGTTTTCCAATCAAGAGGCTCAACCAGCAAACCTGTGCAGAATTGCTTCTGGGCTCCTGGAGTGGGAGACCCTTACTCAAAGGCACTTGATATGTAATCAAGGGAAGAGTGAAGAGGGGAGAGGATAGTGGTGCTAGATGAAAGCCACCAACTTACCAATTGCTGCTAACCCCCATCCCCTATGATCTCCACTTAACTCACTGCACCCCAGTAACCCCTCCCCAGTTCCCTACTAAGACCCTATCCTCTCTGACATCCCCACCCCCCACTTCACCAACTCCTTTAATTGCCCCACTAATCTCCCCACGTAAATCCAAACCCCACTTCCCCCAACTACTCCAAGCTGTACAGCCCCTACCTCGCTTCCCAACATTCACCTGCTATCACCTGCTTGGGATCCAGGTAATCCTGAGCCTCAGGCAGGTGTCGTGCTGGCATTATCTATTACTTCCCCAGTGGCAGCAATGTTGATACAGAAGCTGCCCTCTGATTGGTCAGCAGCTCTCAACAGATGTCACGACCCTCCTCCCCCCACCCCAAGTGTCCTTTATCCCAGGCAAGGTCCACCATTAGCCTGTCAAGCATCTGACTGGGACAAATTGTGATGGTCCTTCACTAATAGGGTTGATGGATGCTTTCACAGGCTTTCCAGCTGACAGCAGAGATCTCCATTTCCTTCAAAAGCTTCTGCCCATGATACTACTTGACCTGAAAATCACACATAGGGCCTGTTCCAAATAGTCACCAAGGGCTATATATTGACCTATAGAAAACTGGTGGATTAGGGTTTAGTGGGGCTGTTGAGGTTGTTAAGATCTGAAGAATGGGCTTCCATCCCAAAATCTGCATACAGCCTGCTTGCTTCTGCTTTAACTGAGGCAGAAAGATGGGAAAGCAGCCAAGGAGGTGGGATGGAACTTTTAAAGTAATAATGAGGCTGTGAACCTCGTTGTCATTCAGCTTTCAAAATTACTTGCTGCGTTTCCCAAGCATCAGTAAGCCAGCAGCTCCCCCAAAGCAAGTTTGGATTCATGAACTAAGTTCCTTTATGTCTACCTCCTGGATCCAGGTTTCTGTCTGAGAAGCCTGTGCAAAGAGAAACCCCTGTCCCCCAACATCTTATACCCTTAGCCTACGATTCCATCCTGAAGCCCCTAATCACTTGGACAGAGATGAGGATCAGGATGGCTGTGATCTACTGTAGAGAAAAGTTACCGCAGTGAGGTAGGGATTATGCATCCTGCAGATCATGGTCGAGAGTATAAGTGGCATGAAATACTGACAGCAGTCAGAATGTTTAAAAAAAAATCACAAGCATTTCAATGACTACTTGTCTCCGAAAAATGATATTTCAATTGGAAGCCCTGTGGAACGAGTCTGAGCTGGAGGAAGCCACTGAGAAAATTGCTAGGCTTGTAAAAATAGAGCTTTGTGATTATAGAGCAAGAGAGGTGAAAGGAAAAAAAAAAAAAAGTTAATTAGGATGAAAGAGACAGATCAAACCTTTTTGTCAAAGCTAAAAACTTGTATCAGACAATTCCAAGCATTTAGCGTAGCACTCTACATTTGGCAGAGAAAGGAGTTTCTCCCCATTACTGAAAGTTGGTTTTGTCGTTAAGACTGAAACAACAGCATGACAATGTAGTGAATCTCTTAAGAATCCTAATTGACCAATAACAAAAATGTAGTGATTTCATGACACTTGGATAAGGAAAATAGCAACCTAAATCAATATATAACCTAAATCTATTATCAAGGATTTTATAGCACAGCATTTAGAAAGTAGTGGCAGGATCAGACAGAGTCAGCATGGATTTATGAAGGGGAAATCATGCTTAATAAATCTGTTGGAATTCTATGAAGATGTAACTAGTAGAGTTACCAGTTGATGTAGTATATTTAGACTTTCAGAAAGCGTTTGACAAAGTCCCACATAAGAGATTAATATGCAAGATGAAAGCTCAAGGGATTGGGGGAAGTGTATTGAGATGGATAGGAAACCGAGAGGAAACAAAGATTAGGAATTAGTGATAACAAGGTGTAGAGCTGGATGAACACAGCAGACCAAGCAGCATCAGAGGAGCAAGAAGGCTGACGTTTCGGGCCTAGACCCTTCTTCAGAAAAGGGTCTGAAGAAGGGTCTAGGCCCGAAATGTCAGCCTTCCTGCTCCTCTGATGCTGCTTGGCCTGCTGCGTTCATCCAGCTCTACATCTTGTTATCTCAGACTCTCCAGCATCTACAGTTCCTACTATCTTAGGAATTAGTGGTTCCTTTTCAAATTGGCAGGCAGTAACTAGTGGGATGCCACAGGGATCGATGCTAGGACCCCATTGTTCACAATATACATGAATGATTTCGATGAGGGAGCAAAATGTAACAAGTACAGATTTGCATATGATACCAAAGTGGGTGGGAGGGTGAACTGTGACCAGGATGGAGAGATCCTTCAGCATGATCCTGACAGGTTGGGTGAGTGAGCAAATCAATGGCAAATGCAGTGTAATTTGGATAAGTGTTAGGTTATTCACTTTGGAAGCACAAACAAGAAGGCAGATTGGCCTGAACGGCTGTAAATTGGGAGAGGGGACTGTGCATTGTCCTTGTGCACCAGTTGCTGAAGGTAAGCATGCAGGTGCAGCAGGCGGTAAAGAAGGCAAATGGTGTGTTGGCCTGCATTGTGAGAGATTTTGAGTACAGGAGCAGGGATGTGTTGTTGCAGTTGTACAGGGCCTTGG